GAATTCAAAAGGAAAAAAGAGTATAAAAATCATCCAGTCACTCATAGTTCAGGTGCTAGCCCAGGAACGCGTGTCCATGCTACCTCTCATGCCGCCTGTACTCCCTTCCCGCAACAATAAAGACCTTGCTTTCAGCAGCTGTTCCGTTCAAATTCTTGCACCGTGCCAGCATCGCTTCCCAGCAGGAAATTCGAACCCCGTGGAGGAAGTTTCATTTTAAATTCAATAAATGTTTTGAGAAGGAAGTTTGCTGCGACAATCCAGAGGGTAGGAAAAAGACAGGAGGTCACACACACAACACAACACACACACACACACACACACTCATACTTCTTGTCCCAACTAAAGTGATTTGACGAAGTCATTGATATCTGCTTATCCTTCCAGTAGACAGTGGTCTTCTTTCTATTATGATTGGGTGATTGATTGATTGTAGATCATCAAATTATTGTTGACTCCTAGTAACCATGTAAACAGATATTCCTCTTACATCGTAATTGCAATCTTAATATAAATTTATTTATAGAGTGTTCATTGCATTTCTTAACTGTTTCCGTACCCCTCTTTTTCACTGCAGTTTCTAAAATTAATCCCTGGACCTTTGCTTTATTTTTGCTTTTCTGCTACCAATCTTTTTCAAGTTAAAGAAGGTGGGGGGGAGAATAATAAAGTCTTTTCTGAGGCTTCTTGGTCATGCTTCTTTATACTTCGTCCCATTACTCATCTCCTGAACTGTCCTTCCAACATAGCTCCTTTTCTCCATTGACCAGTCCTTTCACCGGCCAGCCTGCTCTTCAAGGCCTTCCTTCTCAATTCTTCTGGGTGGGCACTTCCATTACACATTCCACCTTCTTCTGATTATCCTTTCTTCTTTCATTTAGCATTTGCAGTTGACCTGTTCCATGACACACATGCATCTTCAGCCTAGAAAGAAATTCAAGAAGCCAGATGTGGTTGCTTGGGGGCGTCCAAATTAAACCAAGAGCCTTCTCAGAGTCTGTGTGAGATCTTTCATGCAGTTGCATGAATCGAACTCTGTCATAAAATACGACGTCATCTTACTCGTATCAACTGACTCTATCACAGGGATCCTATGTTGTTTCTCAACTGGCTATCAGCTCTAATTAGCATAGCTAATCTTCAGAGATGATGGGAACTAAAGTGTTGTGGAGCATACCTCCTGGCTATTTGGGACGGTTTGGGCGAATAGTGATTCGA